TTTTTAAATTTAAATTTTTTTATTGTTTGCTGCTATCTAGAAATGCAATTGATTCTTTTATATCTACCTGTATCCCACAACATTGTTAAACTCACTTATTACTTCTAGTTGATTTTTGGTATCTAACATAAACAATTATGTCTTCTGAGAAAAGACAGTTTTACTATTTCCTTCCCGATGTGGATGCCTTTTATTTCTTTTTCCTACCTTATTGCACTGAATAGGACCTCCAATAAAAAGTTGAATGGAAGTAGTGAGATTAGACATCCTACTTTTGTTCCTGATCTTCAGAGAAAACATTTAATCTTTTTAAAATCTTTATTTTTCTGTATGTCATTTTGTGTCTGCTTTTACTTTTATTCTTTTTTTTTAAATATATTTTATTGATTTTTTACAGAGAGGAAGGGAGAAAGATAGAGAGTTAGAAACATCGATGAGAGAGAAACATCGATCAGCTGCCTCCTGCACACTCCCCACTGGGGATGTGTCCGCAACCCAGGCATACGCCCTTGACCGAAATTGAACCTGGGACCCCTCAGTCTGCAGGCCAACGCTCTATCCACCGAGCCAAACCGGTTTCGGCTACTTTTATTCTTTATCATTGATTTTTAAGCAATTTAATTATGAGACTTGGTGTAGTTTTCTTCATGCTTCTGGTGCTTAAAATCTGTTTGTTTGTTTTTATCTGTAGGCTTAGTTTTCATCAAATTTGAAAAGTTTTTAACCATTTTTCAATTTTTATTTTGGTTTCCCACCACGTCTCCTTTGGGGACTCCAATTATAGGTATATTTGATCACTCAATATTGTCCCACAATTCACTAATGCCAATTAATTTTTTTTGTCTTTTATCTCTGTGTTTCATTTTGGATAGTTTCTATTGCTTTGCCTTCAAGTTCACTAATATATTTTTTTCTGAACTGAATAATCTCTTGTTAATCCCACCCAATATATTTTTCACTTCAGACAATGTAGTTTCCACCTCTAGAGTTCAACTTGAATCTTTTTACATATCTTCCATGTCTCTACTTAACATATTCAGTCTTCCCTCTAGCTTCTGAATAAATGAAATGTATACGTAATACATGTGTTAATCTACTTGTCTACAGATTCTGTCATTTCTCACTCAGTTTCAGTTGATTGCTTTTTCTTCTCTTTATGGGTTGCATTTCTCTGCTTCTTTGCATGCCTGGTAATTTTTGTTATTAAAACTATACTAAATTACAGTTGGCATCAATAGTGTATTCGTTTCTACCCAGCTGGCATGGCTCAGTGGTTAAGCATTGACCTACAAACCAGGAGGTCATGGTTCGATTCCCGTTGGGGCACATGCTTGGGTTGTAGGCTCGATCCCCAGTGTGGGGCGTGCAGGAGGCAGCCTATCAGTAATTCTCTCATGATGTTGGTCTGCAGACTAAAGGGTCCCCGGTTCGATTCTGGTTAGGGGCACATGCCTGGGTTGTGGGCTTGGCCCCTAGTGTGTGGTATGTAGGAGGCAGCTGATCCAGTTTGTTCTGTTTCAATGAATCTGTCTTGTTTTTTTTGTTGTTGTTTTACATTCCATATATAAGTGAAATCATATGGTATTCGTCTTCTTCTGACTTATTTCATTTAGCATAATACCCTCTAGATCTATCCATGTTGTCACAAATTGCAAGATTTCATTCCCTTTTATTGCTAATATTTCATTATATATAAATATATACCACATCTTCTTTATCCAGTCATCTGTTGATGGATACCTAGGTAGCTTCCAAATTTTGGTTATTGTAAATAATGCTGCAATGAACATATGGGTGCATATATTTTCAAATTAGTGTTTGTATTTTATTTGGATAAATACCTAGAATTGGAATTGCTGGGTCATATGAGTAGTAATTTTTTAATTTTTTGAGTAGGCTCCATACTGTTTTCCATAGTGGTGGCATGCCTGGTATTTTTTATTGAATATCAATATTGTGAATTTTACCTTGTTGAGTGCTGGATATTTTGTATTTCTATAAATATTCTTGATCTTTGTCCTGGGATGTGCTTATGTTACTAGGAAACAGGTAATTTGATCCTGTTAAGTCTTGCTTTTAAGAATTGTTTAGACTGTCCTGGTTGGTGTGGATCAGTTGGTTGGAGTGCCGTCCTGTACACTGAAGGGTAGAGGATTTGATTACTGGTCAGGGCACATACCCAGGTTGCAGGTTCAATCCTGGTCAGGAGGCAACTGGTTGATCTCTCAATCTCTC